TCAGAGTTCGCGCGTTTTTCACCGCGTTCTTTGTTCGTTTTCTATTTGATGAAGTACTGCGGTCCGTCCGGTGTATACGATAATGAATTGTTATCGTCGGACGTGCAGTTAAACCGTTAATTACCTCCTTGAGGAACCCTTTGAAATTATGATTTTTACTTTGCATACATATAAACAAAGGTAAAATTAATTTTATATTTTACTCTAATTACAATTTTAAGTCGTGATAGAATTTTTGTATGCTAGGTTTAAAACTTTCCAATTTTTTTAGCTCCGGATTTAATAATGTTTCAAGTAGATCTCAAGAGGCATCTGTATACACGACTGGTCGAAGAGAAATTAATATATATATAGAAATTATTATAGAATTAATATAGAAGATCGAAAAAGAGGATGTCAGTATAACTTCATAGACAAAATGATTCATAAATACTAGCCAGAAAGTAAACTTCAAGTACGACAAAAGTGACTTCATACGAAAAATTTAAATACAAAAAAAAAAATATCGGATAATTTCATAGAGTAATAAAATTGTACATAAATTTGAAAACTAATTTCCTCTACTTGCGACGATATATTAAAGATCAATACAAAATCATAGACAAAAATATTCATAAATACTACCCGGAAAAGTAAACTTCAAGTTCAGCTACGACAAAAGTGACTTCATACGAAGAACTTAAATAAAAAAAATATGGAAGAATTTCATGGAGTAATAAAATTGTATATAAATTGAAAAAACTAATTTCCTCTGCTTGAGACGATATATCAAAGATGAGTACAATTTCATAGACAAAAATATTCATAAATACTAGACAGAAATGAAACTTCAAGTTCAACTAACAAGACAAAAGTAACTTCATACGAAGAACTTAAATAAAAAAAATATCGAAGAGTTTCATAAAATAATAAAATTGAATATAAATTTTAAAACTAACTTCCTCTGCTTGCGACGATATATTAAACATCAGTACAAATTCATAGACAAAAATATTCATAAATACTACTCGGAAAAGTAAACTTCAAGTTCAGCTACGACAAAAGTGACTTCATACGAAGAACTTAAATAAAAAAAATATGGAAGAATTTCATGGAGTAATAAAATTGTATATAAATTGAAAAAACTAATTTCCTCTGCTTGAGACGATATATCAAAGATGAGTACAATTTCATAGACAAAAATATTCATAAATACTAGACAGAAATGAAACTTCAAGTTCAACTACCAAGACAAAAGTAACTTCATACGAAGAACTTAAATAAAAAAAATATCGAAGAGTTTCATAAAATAATAAAATTGAATATAAATTTTAAAACTAACTTCCTCTGCTTGCGACGATATATTAAACATCAGTACAAATTCATAGACAAAAATATTCATAAATACTACTCGGAAAAGTAAACTTCAAGTTCAGCTACGACAAAAGTGACTTCATACGAAGAACTTAAATAAAAAAAATATGGAAGAATTTCATGGAGTAATAAAATTGTATATAAATTGAAAAAACTAATTTCCTCTGCTTGAGACGATATATCAAAGATGAGTACAATTTCATAGACAAAAATATTCATAAATACTAGACAGAAATGAAACTTCAAGTTCAACTAACAAGACAAAAGTAACTTCATACAAAGAACTTAAATAAAAAAAATATCGAAGAGTTTCATAAAATAATAAAATTGAATATAAATTTTAAAACTAACTTCCTCTGCTTGCGACGATATATTAAACATCAGTACAAATTCATAGACAAAAATATTCATAAATACTACCCGGAAAGGTAATTTCAAGTTCAGGTACGATAAAAGTGATTTCACACAAAGAACTTAAATAAAAATAATATCAAAAAATTTCATAGAGTAATAAAATTAAAATTAAATTTTGAAACTAATTTCCTCTGTTTGCGACGAGACTGAATAAATTGTCTAAAGAAACTAACAAATGGATGACAACTGTCGTCCTCCTGATTAACGCCCGTTGACAACGCGTTAAAGAGGGAATAAAATGGACGCCTCGACATCGTCTTCCATAAACCGTGAAGACAGTTTCATAAACACCTGTCGTACGAACCGCATTCTTTTCCCTCCAACGACGAATAGCCGGCCGTCAACAATGATTTGCATCGTTAATGAAACCGCAACGTTGCCCGTTCACGTGGCTGTCAAGGGTATTCCGGCGCTCGTTGAGTCGTTAACTCGCTTAAGTGCGTTCCTTCTCTTATGAATATGCAAACCATAGAAGGGGAAGGGGTGGGGGGATTTAGATATGCGAGATATTTGTCCGCGTGGCTCGCGATCGTGCATGGAACAGAAGGTCTCGATGGATATTTATGTGTTTCGCCCGATCGAGCGATCATTCCGCTCCTTCGGAGACAATTTTCTCCGTCCCACCGTCCCGATTTCCCGTCGAATGGCGACAGTGACGAATTCCGGGCCGCTGACGAGCGAGAATGGTCGATTAATCGACGACTATTGCGCTCAATCAATTACCGAATACGACGCGCATCCACTTATCGTTGAAACGAGAAAACCGCGGACGGATAGATCGAGAGACGCTTTTGAAACTCAACCCTCGACGAATTATTATACTTCCTGTAATAATACTTACAATTAAACCACGAATATTCATGCATGTTTTCATTGAGGGAACGAGTGCTCGCTTTTCTCGATAAATTTCGTTACTTAACCCCTTGACATACAGTGACGTGTCTGACTCGTCACAAGTTTCACAATTATAAGGCCACTTTACTCGTCATCGAGCCTTACAAATTAAAATCAACACATTTTTACATTCACGAGGTATTCGTAAAACAAATTTACTCTTTCCGTGCCCATTTCTTGTACGAACAAGTTTAAACAAAATTAAATATTATAAGTATTATAAGTATTATAAGTATTATATAATATTATAGTTTGAAAAATTACATTAAATCGTACGTTAAGGGGTTAAAAGGAAAGTAGTCGAAAATATCGAACGAATCGATAGTATCGATACTCTGAGATCGATATCATTATATCGATACCAGTATTGATATATCGTCACGACGTTATTCTCATAACGATTTATCATTACGTCGATACTCCAGTGTCGATATATCGTTATGTCGATAGTTCGAAATCGATATATCGTTATGTCGTTATATCCGTATCGGTGTATCGATATATCAATACCGTCGGGAAGTACGGCCTTTTTCAATCGCGAGCCTCATTTTTCATATGGTAACTAATTGCGACTTACGTGGCGCGAGATGAAAAATACTTTTGACCATCTGTTGCGTCGATTCTATTTCATCTTTCGAAAATGAAATCATTTCGTTAATTACGGCTCGAAGTACAAAGTGGCAGAGTTTCCGGGGTCAGGGGGGATGATAAACGTTCTGAAAAATTTTTATTCCAAGCCGCTAGCCACCCCGCACGCTGGTCGCTACATAATTTTTGGCGAACGTTTCCAGAATAAACGGCTGCAAACGGCGAATAATATGGACAGCGTAATTGTCATTAACGGGGCATCTTCGTCGGTGTAGTGTTACGCTTAGCCTCTATTTGTCCGTAGTTTAATAATTAAGGAAAATTATGCATTCGCCACGCGACATAGAGAGACCGGAGACTTTAAAGCTACCCGGTTAATTGCTGCAATTACGTTTGATGAATGCCCCTAATTAGACTTTCTTTTTTAACTTTGAAATTATCCCCCCTCCGCCTCTGGTATCGCTGCTCGTGAATCAACGCGGTTAGGCGAATAAATAATGAAAATTAATATTTGACGTTGACCCTAGCGTGCGATCGGCTGAATTTATTCGTACGCGACGTTCCCCAAAACCCGTGGACAAAATGAACTCGTTTTTTATTTATTTGCCCCGTCGTTTTCAAGCGTACACGCAATAACGATTTCACAGTTGCAGGAGTTGATCGGGGCAAGATATAACGATGAAACGCCCGCGGAAAAATATGATAGTTGCGTCGCGGAATAGTTACTCAATTTATCGCTCGATCGCTATTGAATTAATTAGCTGCATAGTGAAATTGTTGCGTAATCCGCACGTTGTGCTCGAGAGGATGAAAACGTAATTAAAGTTTAATTAATCCGACTTTAATTGATGCGATGTTTAAGTACGCAACGAACTCCTCGAATAGTTCACTGGATTAATATATATTTTATAATTTGCGTTTCAATATTTGCGTAAAAATGAGACATTGCTCGCCTGGTCATTCACGAAAATTGTATTAACACTTTGACTAGCCACATATACAGGGTGTTCGGTCAGCCCTGGGAAAAATTGTAATGGGAGATAAAAATGTAATAGGGGCCAAAATAAGACGAAAATCAAGAATAACAATTTGTTGATTGAGGCTTCGTTAAAAAGTTATTAACGTTTGAAGTTCCACCTGTAGAATCACTATTGTGCGCAGCTATACGCAGATTGGTGCTCTACAAACGGAACTTTAAACGTTAATAGCTTTTTAACGAAGCCTCAATCGAGAAATTGTTATTCTTGATTTTCGTCTTATTTTGGCCTCTAGAATCTTCCATCAAAATTTTTCCCAGGTGTGGTCGAAAGCTCTATATAGGTGACAAGACTTTCCCACTATGGAACTAAAACAATTCATTTTGAAATTGAAATGTTAAATAAATTTGAATAGGACAAAGTTTAGAGAGTTTATTTTAAGTTACAATTGAAAATTACTCATGAAAAATTGTACAACGTGTCAATATTCAAATTTCTACGTAAATTTACGCGGATTCCTAGCTTCGTAGAACGTCATCGAAAGCGTTAATTACCCCAAAACTCGTAACGAGTGGGCACGATGGAGAATTACGTTTCCCTGGCAATTATACGAACGTTGTTGGATGGAAGAATGAATTTCTCCCGAAAGAATGAAGATTGATAACTGTACTTTCGATCGGTAAAGTGGGTCATTTGATGCAAACTCTGTCCAACGGCGGTTTCTTGTTATACAATATATCTGACTCTCGGCTCGTCTTTGTCATTGCAGGGACAATGATAGATGTGGAGGCAGTGGCAGGTGGAACTGCTCAGTTACCGTGCGAAGTGGAACCGCCAGTCCCTGGGGACAAGCTACATCTAGTTATTTGGTACAAGGAGGAGGCGGACGCACCGATATATAGGTAAGCTCCACTCTTGCGTTCCTTATATACGCTGTATTCCAGAATCTAAATCATCCTCGCCTCGCTGCCGGAACGTTCTTTCCAAAAACAAAACAAACGCGTGGGAGAGATTCGTGCCGGGCTTTCCAAATCGTACTTTTTTACGCCAATTTTTTCGCCACCCACTGACGAATACAAATGGCATCTCGATTTAGAAAATTTCCAATCGATAATCTTGTTCTACCCTTTAGGCTGGAATTATTAAAAATATTTAGACACAGATTTTCATAGTTAATCTTTGGAAAAAGGCATTTTGGTTTGAATAATCACTCTTTTTAAATTTTTCTACAAGACCAAAACTGTAAACTACGTAACTTGAAACTTGTCATAGTACTTTTGTAACTCGATAAAATTAACGAACCCTACCCAGATTTATTTTTTTTAATATTTCGATCAAAAAATTTATTTAATTAATTTCTCAAAGTACTCAAGTTTCAAGCAGAATATCTGAGTAACTCTATACAGACAACTTCGAAAGTCGAATGAAAAATTGATGGGAAAACTGGAAAGGGAAGTTCTACATGTATCTTACGAGTTGGATTATATACGGTGGTGAAAACGAAACATACAAATCGAAGGAAAAATATAATTTCTATCGATGTAGGAATTATTGTAGAAATTAGAGAGAAAAATTCGAACCAAACGTAGTGGTATTGTGCGGGTGAGGGAAGAACTTGGAATTTGCCTTAACACATTACTGGTTCGTGTCTGGGACTGTCTGGACATTGCATTCCGTTTTAGCCGGTCCTAGACACTATGGACAAAGGAATTTACGGTAATTTGTTTTCCCAGTAAAAACATTCGAGCGAGGAAACGCACTATTTTAGAGAATTCGGATGTTTTTATGGTAAATATGTGGAATCAATGGATGAAAAAGCGTGAAATATACACTCGTTCTCACTCGTCAAGGAAACTTTCGTGCAACTATCGTGATTCCACGGCAACAAAAGCGAGTATGAGAAATTGAAACGGTCGTAGTCATTGTTTTCTTTCGGAATTTCCGGGATAAATGCTGCATTGCGGGCAATCCACTTTCTCGAGGCATTCTTCCCATAAATTCATTTCCAGCCGACGAATTTTACTTCTGAAATGTTGCCAATTTCCTCCCTTTGTATTATATTTCCCGCGCCTACTCGTCATTATCTGTCCTTCACGGCGCCTAAGTTGTTTCGCTTTTTTTCCTTTAACAAAGATCAAGATCGTTTCCGATCTTTTGGAATTTAAAGCTATTCGTACGGATCGAGTGCAGAGTATAATTTAAAATATTTAAGCCTACAGTGACTCGAAAATGCAAAACACGGCAAAGTGAAATGAAAGAGAAAGCGAGAAAATTACATTTTTAATCGATTCGCCGGCCACGCAACCCGCTCTGAATTTTTAAATCTCCGCATAAACTCCCGGTTACGTTTAATTAAAGTTTCTACGGTGACGTTGTTCGTCGCTACGCGCATGCGACATCGTTATGAAATCACGCTGGCCCCGCGCGTCATTCTTAAAAAGGATAATTAAAATTTGTCAAATCCAGGGACATCGAAATCCACGGGAAAAACAGAGAACGATGTTGGGTACAGGTGAATTTTGAAAATCACCGGGTACGAACAATCCTTTCGCCGTGTGAGCCTCCATGCTGGAACAAACAAAACAGAAACTGCTTGTCACGTGTTCGAGAATGCATAAAGAATGGTGTACAAAAAGCTGTTAAATACAAAAATATAATGCTGACGAACACTGGAATATTTTCGTGACAACTGCTTTTCATTATTTTTGGTTTTAACTAACCACGAATTTATTGTAATCGTTTTAACAGAAAGTGTATACGGCCAGAAACTCACAACTAAACAACTACGGTCATACGTTTGCGTTTAACCAAATCTTTATGTAAGTTTTTGCCTGTTAAATAACTATTAGTTTTTAATTCATGCTGTAAAAGAAATTTTGTCGTATTTTTCCAAAGTCGAATACTCGTTTGAATAAATTCCTGTACACAACAATATTTGTTTATTTTAAGAATTTGTGTTGTCTGGTAAAAAAAAAAAGTACTATGATCGTGGCAGTAGATTTATCTCCCATCGACAGTTACTACCAAAGTTCCCACCACATAAATTTAGAACATTTTACAAAAGGATTTTCTCTGCCCAAGAATATCTATTCTTTTTGTTACTTTTGTGTCTCATTGTTCTTTGTTTACATTGTACGCTGTACACGTTGGTCCATGTGTCTCACATCCCCCATTTATCTCGCGCTAACTACCACCTACTCCGCTGCTTAAATAATTCACTAAAGGAGACTACTTTGCTCGATCCAGATGCCACAGATAACGCCCTTTTAGGATTTATGATGCCCGAGCACCTACAGTTCCACAGAAAAAATCTTACACTCTCTTTACCCTCTTTCAAACGACGAATGTTCTTATTCGACCCCTCAAATAATTATGTACGTACTCATTCGTGTTGTAATTAAAAATGAAATGAAATTAATACAGGGGAAATTTTAGTCTCACGTTTGTGTCATCTGCAGTACTGAAATGATTATAATTATTATTTATTGCTTTTTAGTGTCGTTTCCATTAAATTTACACAAAGTCTCTTTTATTTCTTGTCTAATAAGAAAGATAATGAACTTCTACCCCTTTTTAATACAAAAAATTCTCTTCGTTGTTAATCAACTGGTCCCCGAAATATTAAAACAAAAATGTTGTAAGGTTGTATAAATTAATCGTGGTAATAAATGAAATTATTTAGAATTTGTTAGACTTACAGTTTATCACGTATGTATATGACACGCGATAAAGAATGTGTCGAGGTGTTTGTCTAAATTCTGTCTACTTGCAAAGCAGCCTGTATTTCTATTTAATAGACCCAGTAAACTACGGCTCGAATCGCTCGCATTTTCACTTAGCAATTTTCCAGCGACGTTCTCGTTACCATAAAAAGCGCGAATTTACGATCCCCGCACGCACGACATGTTAAAAGAACATCGATTCGTGGCCGCAAATCCACTTGGCCGATCGGAAAATCCCGTAGAAAGTGGAACGAAGAAAACCCGTTCAGAGTCGACGAACGAGAAAGATCCGTGTATGAGCACGGAACGTCCTCCAAGGACCGGTTTCAGGAAACTAGCCCGCGGGGCGTCGGTCGCCCGCAAACCCTTCTCGCCCGAGGCGTTCCGCTCTGAAATAAGACGAAAAAGCCACGGGAACACCTGCCCAGACGCGTCGAATAATCGTGCAGGAATCGTAATTCCCGCCATCGAACCGTTCCTCGTCGATATCGATACTCTTCGACCTGAGAAAGTCGATCACAAATCGTTTCGTTTCGTTACTTAACCACCCCATGAAGGAGTAAAATTTCACCTTCTGATTGTCAACAAAAAAAATTTTAATGTCAATATGTGCATATATTTTGCTATTTTTATTAACTTATTTTTTTCTATCGACCTGTCACGGAGCAAAATATTGTTATTGAGCAAAATTTCACCTTCTGATTATCAAAAAAAAAAATTTTAATATCAATATGTACATATGTCCTGCTTTTTTTCATAAATTTATTTCTTTATATCAGCCTATAATGGAGGAAAATATTTTTATTGTATAGAATTTCTTCATTCGAATATTAAAAAATTGTTTTAACGTTAATATATGCATATATCCTGCCCTTTTTATTAATTTATTTTTTTCTATCGACATGTAACGAAGTAAAATATTTTTATCGAACAAAATTTCACATTCTGATTATTAAAAAAATAATTTAAACGTTACTATGTGCATATATTCTGTTTTTTTAATTAATTTATTTTGTTGTATCCACCTGTAATGGAGTAAAATATTTTTATTGTATGGAATTTCTCCTTTCGCATATTAAAAAAATTTGTAATGTTAATATGTGCATATTTACTGTTTTTTTATTACTTTTCGACTTGTAACGAAGGAAAATATTTGCGTCGAATAAATATATTAGAAATCAACGTTTACCTGATAGTTACTTTATCCAACGTGTTCAGTACAGTTTAACTAATTAATTAGGTGCATATCTACCGAGGAAATCAATTTTTGTTAATTTATAGAAGTTTCTGAAGAATTTTCCGACGTGAGATCGTAACAGTATGGCGCAGACACCGCGCGCGAGGGGTTAATAACGTAACCACGAATGTTTTAATTACTACGTTCGTGGAAATGTCGTTTTATTTAAACGATTATTCTCCGTCGGGTAGTATTTTTCGCGTTGCTTTCGCGAAACGAGATTTTACTCGTCCAGGCGTAGGGCTGCAGATGAACCGCGAGTTTTTTAATCACCTCCGACCTGCAAATATTTGTGACCGATGTTTTATCGCGGGAGCGAGATTCGAATTTGATATAAACGCGATGCTTTGGACGCGAGGGTTCGAGCCAGTCGATTTTGTTGTAATAACGTTTCAAGGTAAATAGAAATTGGGAACGTGGAAAAAGTGCAACGTTCATTTGAAAGCGATCGAGACCGATATCGGTGGTAATGGAAATGTTGATAATTTAGTATCGAACGATATCAAACGGAATCGATACGTGTTCCTCGTGACGGTATCGATGGACACGTTTCATACTCGATAAACATATTGATAACAGTGTACGTAATTCTAACGAGGGTGGGGACTCCCCCCACACGAATGTAAACGACAGCGTTATGTCATAAATAGAACAATTTATGTAAATTTATGTGTTTAATATCTATATCTGTATTCGAGCTTTCTATATAGTGACTTTAATGAATATTTATAAATAGTCAAATTAGATATGTGGAAATAATCTTTGGTAATTATTTCTGACTTTTCTTAGCTGAAAAATCATAGGATTTTTGTAACCCAATAAAATTAACGAACCCTACCCAGATTTATTTCTTTTAATACCTCGATTGAAGAATTAATTTTTCTAATTTAAATGAAATTTTTCATTTATAAAAAATAATTCCCTTAATTGACGATATATTAAA